GGGATCCACGTCCCCGACAGGGACAGTCCCCGCAGGCTCTCACTGACTTCCGAGTCGGCAGAGGAAAGAAAGGGGACAGCCAGCGCTTGTCCATCAGTCAGGGAGACGTTCCAGATGCAGGGGGCCTCCCTCCTGCTGCTTTAAGCCATGCCGAGCTTTGCCAGGGCCCTGCTGTGGAGGTTTTGTTACAGCCTAGAGGAGAGCCCCGTGCTTCTCTGGGATCAAAAGGAAACTGCCCGTGAGGGACACAGAGCTCTGGGTTTCCATCACAGACCTGACTAGCCGCGTCTTCCGCTCAGCCCTGTGACTGCTTTTCCCGGAGACCAGAACGGCTCTGATCGGTCCTCAGTGGCAATGCCACACTCCTTTGATTTTCCTCACCCACATGTCCCCGTGGGAGCTGCGGGAACCTGAGGAAGAACCCACGCTGTCCCTATTAGACATAAAATACCCCTGCTGCCTTGTACTGAGTGTACCATGTGAGAGCCAGCGGCGATGCTCACTGAAGCAGATGATGGGATTATACCATCCTGGGGGTGTCCTCTCTGTACCGGACTGTCAGGACCTCTGTTGGTGTCACGGCTTATCTGTGTTCTCCCAGTGCCTCGCACACAGCCAGCCCTCGGATAAAAAGGCAGTAATTATTTTATGTTAAGGACAAAGCCCCTCTAAGTGTGATTTGAACAGAACATAGATAGCAAAACTTAGAAGTTGAAGCCTTATGCTGTTAGGAATAATAAAATAGAAAATAAAGTGAACATTTTAGGTTTGGCATCCTACATAAAGGTTACATTTTACCAGGGTTTTTGAAAGTTAAGTTGGCTATTATAAACACAGATGCCCTAAGAAAGAACAAGGCTATTTCTGCAGAGCTTCCTCTAGCAAGTGGGTGGGCCACCATCACATGGGTTTGGCAGAGACTCAGAGGCAGGCAGGAGAGTGGGAAGCTGTATCAGGACAAAAGGGAGGCTCCAGGTGTGCCTGCTGCAGGTGTGGGTAAGCTGCAGGTGGGCTGACTAGGAGCGGGGCATCCTTTTTGATTGGTTCGAGGGGCCTGTTGGCTTCCTCCTGGTGATCCTAAGTTGGATGTGGGGACATAAACTAGTTATTAGTTATTATTCACATCCTGGCTGCTTAGGGCCAATTGTTTGGCTCTCTGGACTGGTTGCTAGAGACAGTGGTCTGACTTTGCACATAGTAGGTTAGTTTCCTGGGCTGGTTACTGAAGGCAATGGGTTGGGTTCCTGGACTTGTTGCTGCAAAATGTGGGTCAGAGTTCAAGTTTGACCTTTGGTCTTGCCCTTGTCTCAGAGTTTTGAGACTCTGAGAGCAGTGATGAGAATCAAAATGTTTGAAAATGTACAGAAAAGCCTTCACATTATGAGTAAACTCAGGCACACATTTCTCTCTATACAATGAAGATTTTCCTGCTCACAGTGCTCTGAAACACTTTCAAAATAGAGTGATTCTGACCTTAATTTTTAGGAACTCTCTAGGCCATAATTAGACATGTTCAACTGAGAGATAATTTTCCAAAGTGACAGTGGCAGAGCCCAATTTATTTTCTTTGCAATTAGAACAAATGCGATTCCTTAGGACAACAATGCTGATAAATTGTTCTGGAGAGAAATGGAGAGGGGGAGGTGAGGGGGGAGAAAACATTCCGGAAAGAAAAGTTGGGATAAGTGCAGGCGCCCAGAGGTTCCTGCAAAAGGAATGAATGCCTCCCAGATCAGGCGTGCCATCGCGAAGTGGAATTACAGGAGCCCAGTGGAAATCCTGGCTGCCTGAAGAATGATTACAAGACCCTCAGTGATCAGATTAAAAAGTGTGGAACAAGAAAATAGCTTGAAATCTGAGGCAAATCCTAAACAGATACTCTATCGAGGAGAATGCTACAATGATACATGCTTTGTAGGAAGTACAGGTTGAGTCTGGTAGTTTGAAGATTGAGTACTTCTCATTATGAGAGAGAGAGAGGGAGAGAGGAAGAGAGAGAGTTGTTGTTCCTCTTATTTATGCATTCATTGATTGATTCTTCCATGTGCCCTGACCGGGCATGGAACCCACAGCCTTGGCGTATTGGAACAATGCTCTAACCAACTGAGCTACCAGGCCAGATGCTGTGGTTTTAAAAAGAAATTCTTGCCATTAAAACCTGTGGCCCATCTGCTTTGTTTGGATTGACCTTGCCTGGTGTGTGGCGACTCTTCGTGAATAGTGCCCGGGAAGCCTGGGCTGTGTGCCCTTCACATGTTCCCACTGCATTTATTTATACTTTTCTCCGCATCATAAAGATCTTACACCTTCTTTCCCCAAACACAAGCCTGGCTACTACCTCTTTTAGAGTACCTGCTATATGCCAGGGACACTGCTTTCTGTACATTATGGGTTCATTTTATGTTTGTCATTCAGATGCAATTTTCTGTAGCAGCCGTTTAGCTGTATACTATCTCCAGTGTCAATTTCAATGTTCTTTTCCATTTTGAAATTAATCTACAGTTCTCCCTTATTCTATTCACCTTTCTTCCTGTTGGCTGTTCTCAATAGCGCCTCTTGCTTATTTTCCCCTTTTAACTTTGCACTCTTAGTTCATGAAAAAAAAGTGCATGCTTGAGTCCTTTTTTTTCTATTGTGGTGAAATACACAAAACATAATCATTTAAAAATGCCCACTTAGGTTTTGTGAAGTCACCCAATTGTTTAAATGCTAAATAAGACCCAAGCAAAGCTAAACATAAAAAATGCTATGTATACCCAAGACTATCTGGGCCATAGGCTGAAGGGACAGCTGCCAAGTGTTAAGAAAGAGTGTTACCCACTTTGGGATGAGGAGTTTTTCTCTTAGCCTCAGTGCCTTGATTTGTGATGTGGTGTTCAATTTCTTTTACCACTATTTCATCTAATTTCAACAGTAAAAACAACAGAAAATGTCAAACATTTCTTCTTAAACCCATGAAAAAATAACCTTGTTTATCTCAGAACAAGTAAATAACATAAAATAATTGATAAGAGAAGCTTTATACTTAGGCTGAATGAGACATTCTGGTACTTTTCAATATTCTTATCTCTCCCAGTAATGGATTTCATGTCTAAAATGACTTGGATTCTGGCCTTGTCTGTGTACAACTGTGAGTTTTCACCCTCGTCGTGTGATTTTTCTGCTTTTTCAGCAAGTGTGAAAGTCAGTGATCTGTATAACTGAGCCCACTCTTCAAATGTCTTCCTCTTCACATGAACAAGGTAGCCAAGTCTAGAGGTGAGCCCGTGTCTTGCTCCTGGGTTACATCTAGGGTGTTTCTGCTTTATGTGCAAACAGAGCCGCAAAGAGCACAGTTCTGCTTCTCACAGGAAAGTTCAAGGCTTTCCCTCTGTCCCCGCGGCTGGCCGTGTTGGCGCCTGGATACGTCTGCCCAGGCTGCCATTGCAGAATGCCACAGGCTGGGGGCAACAGCAGACACTTCTTTTCTCACAGTTCTGGAGGCAGGAAGTCCAGGTTCAAGGTCCAGCAGGGTCAGTCGGTTTCTGATGAGCACCCCCCTTCTCTTCCTGGCTTGCATAAGGCCATCTCCTCCCTATAATGTCAGGTGCCGTTCCCCTGTGCATGCTGAGATGGCGGGTGTCTCTTCCTCTTCTTATAAGGACCCCGGTTCTATTGGATTAGGGGCCCACCTTGTGACCTCATTTAACCTTAATTACATCTTGAAAGGCTCCATCTCCACATGCAGTCACATTGGGGGTTAGGGCTTCACCCCAGGAATATTGTGGGGACATAAATCAGTCTATAACAATTCCTCTTCAGGGAACTTAATCTTTCTCTGCAGTGCAGCATAGCGTGGGAAGACCCACATAATCTGATATAGAAATTGTATGCTGGGATCATATAAATGATGCCATAAATAGCACAGGTGCAGAAATTGGATATATTCTTACTTTTCCTTCTTCATACCGATAAGAGAAACTTTTGAGTTTACTTGCTATGAAAACTTTTAAAATGACTTCTCAGGGCAGCCCCATTTGGTGCATGATGAATGATGAGGGACTTGACCCGTGTTCTAAGTGTGCGGCTAAAGCATACATGACATTGACTGACGGGGTTTGCATGTCTTCTGTGAAGTAAAAAGTAGAATGCAATTTACTGTCTCCTCTTTTCAGAGACCATTTAATATATTTAATACATAAGATTGCATCTAGATTACTAAAATTGTGTAATACAGATTATACCTTTTCCTTTCTTGGCCTGTGGCAAAATGAGAGGCAAACCACTCAAAGGCCCGTAGGCCCAAGAGAGGTGGGTGTGGTGGTAACTAACCAGACAGTTAGTCGTGCTGCTTCCTGAGATGAATGTTGTGGAAATGCTAAGAGGCCCGAACAATATTTTCCTCCAAGGCTGCAGGGTTTGGCAGCTATTTTTGTCCATTGCTTTTTTCCCCCAATAATATGTTCTGTATAGACCTTTCATTTTCTAACAAAAGGTATGTTTGTGGCTAAATGGCATCATGTGTGACAGAGGTCAGATGTGACGGCATGCAGGCTATTTCTTCACACTGGTATGTCCTTGGTATCGCAGGGATCCAGGGAGTGCGTCCCTGTGGATGCTTATTGTGCTGAAGGTGGTCCATGTGCAAATGACAGATGGTTTCTTTTTTTTCTGGAGTACTTCCTGCCTCCAGAACTATGAGGAAATGAGGATATGTTTTTATTGACTTTAGAAGGAGAGGAAGGAGAGAGAGAGAGAGAGAGAGAGAGAGAGAGAGAGAGAGAGAGAGAGAGACAGACACAAAAGAGAAAAAACATTGATGTGAGAGAAAAACATCGATGGGTTACCTCCCGTACACACCTTAACCAGGGATGGAACCTGAAGCCTAGGAATGTGCCCTGATCAGAATCAAACCTGGAACTTTTTGGTGCATGGGACGATGCTCCAAAAAACAGAGTCACCTGGCCAGGGCGACAGATGGCTTCTTTAATAGATGTAAGATGAATCCTCTTCCTACAGGTCTAGACTTCAAGTATTTGTCTCCTGTGACCCTCCAAAGTCACCTTGTCTTGTATTATTCCTTTAGGATGTCGCCTCAAGCTTTCCTGCAGCCCCACGATGGAATGGCTCTTTGGAGCCTTGCTGACCTGGTTCTCTGTGGGTCTGTTCTCACCCTGGGATGGAGGAGGAGCATCGGAAAAGCAGTCTCTTTGTCTTTGCAGAGAGCCTCGGAATTTCGTGGCCACATCAGGTAAGTGTTTAGTGTGTCACCTGTCCTGAGAACTGTCAGCCCCTCGACATGGAGACTTGCTACCTAGACAGATGGTGTGCTCCTGGTCATGGCTGTGCACCTGCCCAGCTCACAGGACTGTGCACTGGGGTGTTCATGAGGAACAAGGAGCTTCAACGCGTGTGTGCATGTGGCTACTTCTAAACTAAAAGTCACAAACAGCTGCGGGTGGACAAAGTAGACAAATGCTCTGCGGCTGTGGGTGTGAGACTAGACCTCATTTTAGAAATAGAGAGTTTCCAGATAGCAAAATAAGGGAGCAGAATTCTTAGGTACTCAATTGGCATATGTTATTATTCTCTCTGGGAAAGTTTATGCCTGCTATTTACATGACTGTACATATTGCGGGTAGTAAGCTCATTATCTTTTTCACAGTTTTTTTTTTTTTAGCCTTGTAATGTGTCCAAATTCTTTCTTTCTTCACTCTGTAACTACATAATCAGGAAAAGGAGGGCCATTATACTTGGTGGTGTTGCTAGGCACTTCTCTAGGTTATGCAAAAGTTGGCCGGGTAGTGGCCATTTTTTCTGGGATTTGGTACAACCAGTGTTTCTCAGTACTCTATCGGACTGTTATTTGTTGGGACCTTGAATGTGTGAAGCTGATATTTGGGGGGTGGGGGTGGAGGAAGTGGATCAATTTACATTAGGAACCCCACAATCTTTAGGAAGGTAAGATACCAACATTCTCCCTAGCCCAGCCGGGAGAGCTAGCCATGTGGTTTATGGTAGCATTGGTTGGGGTTTGGTGCCAGGGAAGGGAATGAAATCTCTTGAAATATAATTTCCTTGAGAAAAGTAGGAGTCTAAGCTTGTGACCCAGACTCGGGGCGTGGATCTAAGAGTTCAAGGAGTAAAATGGTTCAGATACAATAGATGTAGGCAGGTTGTCTCAATTCAGCAACCTCAGCACAGTGATTGAGCTGTGAGGAACACTAGCCGAATGTGAGAGTGTGAAGTCAAACTTCCACGTGGCTTGTCCTGGATCTTGTCCTTTCTGGAGGGCATCCTGGCACCAGTGGAAAAGCATCTTCCATCAGATGGGATAGGATCACTCATGGCAGCCACTCTGTGGGGCAGAGGGAATACTGGCAGCATTCAGATCACTGGGGACCAGATCCCTATATTGGTGCTGGCACACAGGACTGAGACCTGGAGGGCTGGATCTCAGGCAGTTTGTGTGAGAGGAGGGGCGGTCCTGTGAGGATGATGGGAGTTCCTGTTAGGCAGTGGGGACTTATTTGTTTGGAGAGGCAAAGAGAAAGAAGAAGAGAGGGAGAGAGGAGAGAGGAGAGAGAGGACGAAACTCATCCATTAAACTTTCTTAGTAAAATACGACTTTCTAGCCGAAACCGGTTTGGCTCAGTGGATAGAGCGTCGGCCTGCAGACTGAAGGGTCCCAGGTTCAATTCCGGTCAGGGGCATGTGCCTGGGTTGCGGGCATATCCCCAGTGGGAGATGTGCAGGAGGCAGCTGATCGATGTTTGTCTCTCATCAATGTTTCTGACTCTCTGTCTCTCTCCCTTCCTCTCTGTCAAAAATCAATAAAATATATTTAAAAAAAATACGACTTTCTAGTTTCATAGACTGTGATTGTGCAGCAAAGAGTATTTCAAGTCAGGGTATGTGGTAATATTATCAACTCTTAGCCTATTTTTAAAAATCGGTATTTCCTCCCTCTTTATCTTTCTCCATTCAGGCTGCCATGAATTCATTCTATATTTATTTACTGCCTACTGAATAGTGGTGCCACAGAAATGTAAAGGGAAAGAAATTCTTAGCTTTTGAGTTTCAGAATAGAACTGGTAGTCCATAGCAGAAGTAATAGCCTTGAGAAAACACTTTGAGACCTGAGAGGGAGGGAGAGAGGTTTCGGAGAATAAAATACAGTTGCAGTCTACTCAGTGTTACACATTAAGGGGAAAATCAGGTCTGAGAAAGATAGTACTTGGACACCCTTACATTCCAAGGAATGAACATCAGTCAGAAAGCTCAGAACTCAAGACTGAATCTGGGTTTTGGCTGAGGTATCCATTCCACCAAGGCTGTGTTGATCAGGGTTTACTTTGAGGGGAGTGGGGATGGTAAAATGCATTCCAAGGCAAACAAAGGAATTTTTCGGTCCGCTCCCCCTTGTTGAAAAGTTGTACTTTTTATGGATACAGACAGTAGATTGGTGGTTGTCAGAGGTCGAGGTGGTGGGGTGGTGGTGGACAAAATGGGTGAAAAGGGTTAGAAAGTACAAACTACCATCTAGAAATGCATATGTCCTGGGGATGTAGTATACAGCATGATGACTATAGTGAACAATATTGTATATTTCACAGTTGCTGAGAGAAAAGGTCTTAAAAGTTCTCATCACAAGAAAGAAGTTCTAACTAGGTGTGGTAACTTACTGTGGTGATCATCTCACAATATATACAAATATTGAATCATTACGTTGTGTACCTGAAACTAATATAATGTTATATGTCAATTAAATCTAAACAGAAAAGAGAAAATGTACTTGAATTTGCATATGTGACAAGCAGTACCCTGGGCTCCTCAGATTTCTGCACATGAGGGGTTTAAAACATCTCCGACCCGGGAGAGGGAGACAGAGTGTCAGGAGAGATTGAGATCATAAGATTTAAATATGAAGGGCTCAACCTTTCATGATGCATTTAGGATTCTCTTGGTTGTACCTCAGAATTATGCTAGATGGTGCCAGAAATGCAAGTATGGCTCAAGAATTCTGTTCCTGAATCATTTCAGCATTGTGTCTCAGCAGAAGGATAGAAGTTGAGGCATTTTATGTGTAGAAACATAGGGATGAAGAAAGAGTCCTCAGTCTTCCATGGCCATATACAGGAGGGTAAACTGGCTGGTGCAGGCACTAATGTTGTCATAATTTCTGCTTAGAAATATGTGGAGTGTTTAGTGAAGAAAAGGAGACTAATCACGATGTGGATATAAGAAGTCTAGTGAGATAGGATAAATTGTGGCTATTGGAAGGGCAGGGCATCAAGTATCTGACAGTTCTCTCTGATGATGTCACCCAGTTAATCCCCTTAAATCAGTTCATTACCCTGGGACTTCAAGGGAGCGTCCAAGTTCAATTGTAAAGTAAGTGGAAATGTTCACAGCCTACTTTATAGCCTGACAGTCACACCTGTGACAATAGTGTTGAATTTGTGGATGCTCCAGAACCCCTCACACATGTATATCAGCAAGTTCTGATTTAAACAGATGAATGCCACGAGTGCTGAGAGATATATTCATGTGGAGTTCGGAGCTCAAGTTCAGGGGGAAGTCCGTGGGTATCTGAGGAGGCAGATGAGCAGAACTAGCCTAGGTCATCAGATGCTATAGTCAGATGAATTTTATTCTAGCAGGTTAGCTTATAAAATGGGATGACATGCATATTTAGGAAGGGGCTTGGTGCCAGTTATTCTCACATTCATGGATGATTTCTTCTTTGGCTATTTCATTATATCTCTGAAAAATTTAATATTGAGGGCTAAATTTTTTATCTCTTTTGGCCCCCCCATTGTGAATCTATTTTATGCTTCAGAATTATTTCCTCAGTTAGGCCTCTGAATGCTAATATATTGCAGAGTTTAAACACAACCACATTAGGCATGTTCATGAAAAAAACAGAGCTTTTAGTAGGATTCATAATGGATATTTTATATCTCCCTCTTGCTGAAGACCTAGGGAGTGGTTATATAAGATGTAAGTAATGTGTCTGCAAGAACAAAGCAATATGGTTTAAGCAGCTCAAAATCATCCTGTGAAAAGCTCCATTCTGTCTAATTCATACACACCTTAGCAGCATTGCTCTCTCTTTTCCCTGTGAAAATGTGAAATATAAACCCTATAGAATTGTAGATGGGTAGGTAATCCTAATCTTTGTTGTCTATTTGCAAGAAATTAGAAGACAATGCACCCATCTAAGGGTTAGGAAGAGCAGAATTCTGGGCCCAATTCCTCTGTTTTTTCTTCAAGACAAGCCAACAACTTTTCTGAATCCAAATTTCCCTTTTTCCTGAAATGGGCAAACTAACATTTCCTCAACATTGTCCCAAGGTGTGAAAATTGAAGATATTAGACGAGACTGTGTTTGAAAACTGTGGCCCACAAAATGAGTGAAGAGTTGATGAGAATCTGGAAAGTCATGTGAATTGTTTTTTTTGGTAAACTGAATATGTTGTCTCAGTGGCTCATAGTAGGCCACACCCTCATCCCCAGACTGGTGCGGGGACTTTACAAACTTTAGCCTAAATGATTCTAATCTAAGACCTACCTTTCAGAGGTTAGGGTTCTGGTGTGACAGTCATAGTTCACAAGACCCATCAGATAGAGCCTAATTGTTAAAACAACAACAGCAACAGCCCCTCCCCCAAGAGGTTGTTGGTAGCTGCTAACAGTTGGAGGTCCATGGTTAGTACAGTTGTGTCCCTTCCTTCCTGTGTGAGTGTTTTGCTATATCCACGGTCCAGTGGGTTTTGGAGGTGAGTGTGATGAACCCATAGGTCTCTCCATCTACCTTGCTGGTAGAAGTCTCTCAAACCCATATGTTGGAGCACAACTTTGTTTTGAATGTGAATATTTATTTTTGTAGCATTCTTTTTCATTGAAGGGTTTTTTTCCCCCTGCTTCTCTCAACAAAACCTTTTTAGAGTATTTTTTCAGTAAACAAGTCTTTACCTGACAAAGGAACTAGCTGGCGATACACCTTCACAACCCCCGCGATGCCCTGCTGACGTGGGCTGTCCCAGTTTTCTAAATGAGAAGCCTGCTCCTCTCCGCGCAGTCTCTGAGCACCGCCAGCTGTCTTCTCTTTCTAACGCTGCAGAGATGCTTTGAGGCTGCTTGTGTATTTTGTTGGCAACATTAGCACAGA